GCCTAAAGTATTGTTTGATTGAAGTGCAGACACTTGGGCTGGAGCCTGGGTTTGGATACAGTTAGCCGCGGGTATCTATGTACAGTGTAACATACTTACAACAGGGTCAGGCCAGGGAGATATCTATGACATCATAGCATGACTCCAGAGGGGTAAACAAAGTTCTGACAAAGAACCTCTAGCAAACCATGGATTTTTTTTAAACACTATAGCAAATGGGTTAAATCTGACAATGATTGGACATTAGCCAAGGCTAATTGAGGGAGTTCTAGGGCTGAACCATACCCTATGGCTCAGTTAAAATAAGATGAATGACTAGGATCCCTTCTTCTCAAGGTTTTCTCCTTATTTTCCCTTAGCTACTGGAGTAAGTCTTTTTAACAAATTATTTATTACAGCCAATGTCCAATTAACCAAGTTTTCCTTATCTCTTTTGTTTAGCCCAAACCTTAAATAAGATACACTTGTTGTCACACTGAAAATACCAGTGTTAACACAAATAACCTTTCTTTCTCATTATTGTTTTGGGGCAGGATATATGTTTTGTGTCTCACTTATCTCAAGATCCAAACTCAATTTAAAATGATAGCTGACCCAGCACTAATGTGAGCCCTTATACCTACAGATACGATCCTATTTACTCTGACTTTTTAGTAGGCATTAGACACTTGGATGGCTTTTTCTTTTCTAGGTTTTTTTTTAATTAGTTGGGCAATCTATATAACTAGCATGACTAGCTGTCTCAATTTTACTGGCGCAGTCCTGATATTTGGAGCTTTGTCTTACTACGTGCCTGGTAACCCCACCCTCTGTCCAAATTTTTCACATTCACTCTGGTCACCCTACATATAGCTCAGTGCAGAATGTGTACTCACATCAGGTATGGCTCAGCAATTTGTGCTTAGCACACTTCCCTCTTTTAATTTGTTCCTTTAATCTTTGGCCCTATGCTGATTTATTAATATGCCAGACAAAATACTGTGAATGAGACTCGGTTATCTGGAGTAGGGATGTTAAATCAACTAACTGATTAGTCAATAATGGGGAAACTGCAGAACTGCAGTGGGGTTAGCTCACGGCCCCGGGAGTTAACGCTGCTGCAGCTCTTGCTTTTAAATGTATTAAGAGCCTGGCAGCTCTTAAGAGGTGTAGTGCGGGGACCCAGCTTGAGCTAAGAATCAGCTGTCCCGACTCACGCCCAGTCCCAGAAGTTGTACCTCTGCCTCTCCTGCCCCGCATAGAGACAGTGCTGGCAGGAACTGGCTTTTAAGCACCTGCTCCTGCCCCTTCCCCCCACATTGCTGCTTCTTTCTGATAGAGGCAGTGGAGGGCCTCTACTCTACTCGATTATCTGATAAGCATATTGACCCAAGTTGCAGAAAGTAACCAACTTTAAAGCTGGCAAGTTCCCACTGCTTATTGGGTTATGTTTATGCAAGTGCGTAAGGAGGATGTGACAGCAAGAAATAAATTTGCTCGATTGAAATATTCTTCAACTAAAGCTGAGTGAAAAACAAAGCCAAAATAGAGAGCTACTTCTAATATTAATGCTCTACCTGTCACTTTAAGGCATATAATAGAAAATCCAGGGGGAACAGGACCCTAATGTGCAGGAGTCGAGTTAAGGCCCCTTAATTAAATTTAAAGATTTTCTTACTCAAGGGAATGGACATAATTAGCTGTTTTCTGAGTTGTATTTGACCTGAAGTTGCTAGCATCAACAGATAATGGAATGTATTAAGCAGTAGATTCTAATTATGAGATTTTGGGTGTCATTCATTATTTATATGAAATATTTTCTAAATTTATTTACAACCTGGTAAATAAATATTCTATGTTTCAATAATAGGAAACAGGTGTTAAAGCTGGTTGTCTGAATACAGGACTGGTTCAAGGAAAGTAAGCAGCCATGTAGTACTGAATCAAATGTTGCAGTGTTTATAGGTTGTCCCAACATCATTAGAAGTGATCAGACCATCAAATAAAAATAATGAAGTAACACTGGAGATATATGAAGACTACCGCAATTGGATATAGTGTCTGTGTTGACCTTCTGGAGATATTAATTAAAAGAATATAGCCAAAGTTGTCATTGTTGTATCACTCTATGGACTTCAGAGGACTTACATCAATGATGTTTTTGACCCTACACTTCTTGGTCAGCCAAGTCACATTCCAATTCTTTCTAGTCCAGCAAGCAAGCCTAGAATGTCATTTCAAAGTGACATCCAATGTAGTACATGCTAATCCCTTCAGTGTGTGTTGGAGGCAGTGTAATAACTGGCGAAAGTCAGGTGACTATGAACCAGAGAGTCAGCTGGCATATATCAAGAAGTCAATGGGACTATGCTGATTTACACCAGCTGAGGATCTGTCTGAGTGCAAGATTACTTATTGCAGACCTTTATCTCTACCACTGAGGGGAAGTATTGGCATAACATACATTTTAATTCAGGCACATTTTCACTGTATTTTGGAGAGATTTTACTAGGCAGCAAAGGGTCATCCATCACTAGGTCATAGGTAGTTGGTGGGATTTATAATTTGTTGTGCTGCCAATGGCATTTAGGAAATGAAACCGTTTCTTTCTCCTTGTGGTGATTTTGGGGGTGGATTTCTTTCCTCTTCCCAATACCATTTTGTGTCCGTAGTGTTAGGAGGAAGTAGCTGTCTTCCTCATTTTGAAATCTTGGAGCTCAGTTCTGATGTGGCCTTATCAAGTTCTCAGGTGTGGACTGTGAGGCCTGTGAGCACACTGTTATACTAGATGCAAATGTCAAACAATAACTGTTTTTAGGCAGAGTAAAAACAACTTGTCTGGAAAAGATCCTCATTTATTCCAATATCTGCTACTTAGTAGACACTAAATCCTGATTCAGTAAAGTGCTCAAGCACATGTTTAACTTTAAAGTCAATGAGACAAGCACGTGCTTGAAGTTAAATACATGCCAGAGATACACTGGTGAACGAGAGACTGGTTTATACGGGTGTGTAAGTGCTTGCCTGACTTGAGTCCTATGATAGCTCTTTTCCTTTCCGTATTTGAAAGCAGCAAAGAACTTTGTTTGTTTTCTGTAATGCTTAAATTCCTGATGAGGGAACTATATTGTTCATTTGACAACAGAACCCAATTGCAAGTTTCCACATTAAATACAAACAGCAGGGGTTCATCTCCAATTCCCTTAATCACACATACTATTGGGCATGTACTTCTTGCACAGAGATCAGGATCAGACTTAAAAGATTGGTTTCAGTTTACACCACTAGCCTGAATGAGTATGCAACCCAGCCTAGGTGTAGCCCAAGGTCCCATGTGCTTCAGGAGCAGCCCTGGGAACTACAAGTTGTGGACTACAAACTGCAGCATGATGGGAGAACTTCCTGCTTCCTGCCAGGATGTGCCCTCTGCCCCCCAGCAGGGTCTCAGCACGGACTGAGCTAGAAGCACGTAGGCTGCAAGCAGAGAGGAGGGGCTGCTGTACCGTCATCCTGTTCTATGTTCTTTACAGAATAAAGCTTGTTCCTGGTGGTTTGTCTGAGTGGGTCTGGTCTGACACACAATGCAGAGCACACAAAGGAGTCTCAGGCCTAGTCTCCCAGAGCTGTGTTTAAAAAAAATAAAATAAAATTCACAAAGCTTCCCCTAGGTTGAATAACCTCCTACTGGGCTAGTGAACAGGAGGGCTACATGTGAATATCTATATAACTTCTCTTTAACAGAAGATTCACGCAAATAAGAGAAAACTGTTGGCTTAGTCATTTCAGTTATTGATGTTCTTGTACCTCTTTGCTCTCCTCTGACAGTTGGCTGAGATGAAGGAAACAAGATGACTTGTTGTTACATTTACATTAATATTGGCTTCACTGGATTCTATAGCTGAACAACTAGAGAAATTCTAGGAAAAAACTAAAAATCCACCAGCTGGTGAGGAAGGGAACCATTAGTCCCAAAGGGGAGGCAGGTAAAAAATGAAGGGTTTAAATCTGTTACACCAAGGCCCCATTACACTGCCAGAGTGGCACAT